AGCTACCTAAAAATGTACCCACATGGTTGGGGTAATAAGCCACTGATTTTTATACATTTTATATATATTGATGATTAGTTGATATAAAATAACCTGAACTGGACGATATTAAACGTTAATTAATCAATAACACTATATATACAATATCGAAAGATTAAACTAGTCTAGAAAATGAATGTAATAAATTTTGACTGACCCACGTGATTACACCGTCTTAACAACCGTTAATCAGTCACATTTATAAAAAAGCTTACGTTACTATTTGTTTTAACCATATAAGTAAATCGAGAACACATGCAAACTTTTGTAGCAAGTACACATGTAAACAAGAAATACTCCATGACCTACAAGTTTCAGACTCAAATCAGTCAGCTACAAAGTAGGACCAGACACATATATGCATAGGTCCAGGTTGCCATACCGCATTAGCACAACAAGATGAACACCAAATTCACAGTAGTTAATTCAATGGTTATAATACATAAAAGAAAGACTGCATAAAAAGATATAGTACAGGAAGAAAGAATTAGCTGGTAGAAAGAAAGTTATGAAGCGATTTTAATCTCATAGTTTGAAGAAAGAAAGAGAGTGTATGCACCTACGCCACTGTGATTAATTTTGAGCCATTTCACCAAGAGTCTCCAACCATTGGTTACGATAGTCACGCGGACCCCAATCAAGTAGTCTGTATCTATCAGCATGGCTCAAATCAGAAGTTAGTGACTTCAGGCACTGATACCACGTTTTGGTTTGGCCGACCCTAACTTTCTTCCAACTATCCCCAACACCAGTTAGCATCGCGTGTCGTGGTAATCGGTGTTCAAGCATACGTAACACGTGGCCCAACCATCTCAGTCAATGAAGATTAACAACCTCATCGACTGATTTAGCATCATTCTCTAATACCGTGGCGTCTAACCTCACTATTATTTACCTGGTGACCTCAGCAAATGCGAGCAATATTTCTAAGGCACCTGTGGTCAAATAATAGTAGCTTACAAGAATCTTCAACTCCTAATGTCCACGTTTCGCAGCCGTAAATCAGAACAGACCAAACTGCTGCGTAGTATACTCATCCTTTTATTCATAGACGGATATCTCGCCTTCGCCATGGGTGACGTAAGTTGGCAAAAGCCAATCAAGCTTTTCGAATCCGTGCTGAGATTTCGTCAGACACCAACCCGTTAAGGCTGATCAGACTTCCAAGATAAGTGAAGTTGTCAACGCGTTCGACTACTTCACTCCCTATTCTTAGTTCAGGTGTTGACGCAGACCAGCCCTGAAGAAACGACTTGTATTTAGAGGGACAGAAGTGCACTCCAAACATTCTGGTATTGTTGCTTAATGTTACCAAAAGATTTTGCATTTTATCAACGTCTTCACTCAAATAATATTTTAACAGCCTTCGGAAAAAATATAAGCCAAGTAAATCATCACATGATATTGTAAGTTAACTGAGACACACATGTGCATCAATCAAAATTTTAAACACTGCGTTATGTAAAATGTAACTGAATAATTACATACAAAAACTAAGTGTTTTTACAATTAATATATAGTAACAAGTTGTATGGATATGTAAATTTTGTTAGATTTCGACTGTTTAAAAACAAAGAGAATAAACATGGCACAATCAATTGAAATTGTAAAATGACGAACGATATTATGAATAGTTAGTAAATGACACTTGACACATGGCATGACAAAAAATTGCTTAGAATAACATGAAATAAGTGAGTTTAACCCGAAGCTCTAAACTATCAAATTATATATATCGTTCGGATACAAATTAATAAACAAATGTATAGACTGACACATAAAGCGTCTAACCATTTAACTCTGGTGGTTAGCCGCTAACCTCAAAACCAGAAAATCTTGGATTCGATCCAAAATGGGATGGTGAATGGACATACTAGGACGAAACAGGTGCCTAGTGCTTCCCGATTTTCAATAGTTTTCTAAGACCAATCCATGATGTAAACTACAAAATTTAAGTCTTCGTTGGTATTTAGATCATTGTTCAACAATAAGGACAAGACGAAGTCTGGGAAAGCTTTAATAGGTATGTAAAATTTCTCAAATATGTAATGATAGCTTATTTTATAATCTAGTGTAAAAATTAATGGAGTCTGTGAAGTTGGAATAGTTGGTTTACACTGGATCACCAATCAATCAGTCAGATAAGACCGAGATAGAGGCTGTCAGACCAAACAGAAAGGACAAACTGGATCACAGCATAAAATAAATCGAAAGCTTTTATCACTAGATGCATCATATCGTATCATATCCGTCAATTCCTGTGGCTAAAAGGTTGATTAGATAAATAGATGGCATTATTCCAGGAATTCCACCACAACACACAAACATTTATAAAAAATATATGGCTTTTTGATTGCTACTTGTTTGTGCGAAAATAGGCTAAATTTATTTATCATGTACGAGTCTACATATTAAGGCTTCTAACCATACTTATAATGGTGAAGTATAGTGATACTACCTGGGTAATTAAACAGCAGGCGGAGTCAGTTACAAAACTTTGGCACACTGTTTGAAGTTCGAGCGGTACCAAGATATATGGATGGTCATAGATCGGAAACACTTATTCTTAGACCTAACATTCCCATATTACAAGACAAAAATTAGCGTCTCTAAAGATCGTTTTTTGTTACAACATTTTTGATCGTAAAGCAACATTTGTCTCATTGACAATTCCATTTCCAGATGTTGCCATTATCAATTTACGGTTACAACGCAAATATCACTGTAATGCAACAATCCATATTGTAAAAATACTTAAACGGTATTATGATAATCTAAAAAAAGTCATACCATTTAACGCAGAATCATAAACATCACATGTATCGTTAAAATGAAAAAGTAGTCCATAGAAGTTGCTTACGTGAAAGAGAAACATCTTTTGTTAGTGTAAAGAGATTACTGAACGTCGTTTTTTTTATTTTTTTAAGTAATTTAATAACCAACTACACGTCTCATGTGCTTAGTTTTGAGCCACACTGATTACTTGAAAGCTAATATTGCTATCCAGTTGCGTTGAAAAAGCAGTATGTAACATGAGGTTCGAAGTTGCGGTCCATTGACTGAATACTAAATCCTCCAACCATTGAAGTCATCAAGTCAATAACTCAATATCTTCTACGACCAAATGTTTTTTTTTACAAAATAGCTTGTACACACCGCAATCATCGGTAATCCCAAAATCCATAGACATACATATACACACGAAGGTAAAACTTAAGGATACAATGTTATCAAATAAATATGACTTTTACTTACCAGACTAATTCCTTCAAATGAAAACATGACAATACTAAATGCAATTAGTAGACCATTGAAATTGGTAACAGCCGGAAATTCATATATTGAATGTAATCCAGATGTGAATAAATAGATGAATATTAATATCATACCAATTGCAGTGCATATATTAGCCAAACCGGATAAATAGGTGACTACACGCATACTACTTTTAAAATTCATTAGAATTAGTATTAGACAAACAATAAATCCCACTAGATACACATTGAGAGTTAGATGTGGGAAGAAGGACATTAAAAACTGCAAAAAAAACATAAGATAGAAAAGAAGTATTACTATTATATATGGCACAAAGCCTATTTACTTAAGACAATATAGAACACACTACCGCTGTTTATCAGGAAACCATCATAAAGTGATATATAGGAGACCAGGAGTATTTACGTAAAATTTAAATTATTTACAGGTTTACATACTCTGCTTTAGGTCATACTTCACGTGAAGGGGCTAGTGATACTGATCAACTGAGCAAACCGAAGTGGGTGAGAAAGCTTTTGAACTTGTGACGCACTGATTGAAAGCTTAGTGTGTTACACACTAAGTCACAGACTCATTTAATATAAACCCAACAGATGGTTTGTAAAGATAATATTAGTTCAGAGAAAATAAAACATAAGAAAACAGACACATAAGCTACTTATTCAGTAGATATAAAGGATGCGTCTTGTGACTAATAGCGTATCAATAAATATCATCTATGTTTGGTCGCGTTTATGCGGCTGGTTAAGTTCACTAAGAATAATGGGTTTAGGATCATGTATTGAATAATTAATTAAATATATATTTTGGAGTAATATTTATTGCTTCACTATAAATTATTGAGCTATTCTCGGATTCTATTATGCAAGCTTTCTATATTATCGGAATATTTAAATGCTGCATAGGATCTGACACTTGTAGAACATCGGTAAACAAACAAACTAGTATATCCAAATTGTATCGACCACGGTTAGAAACATACGAGTTTCATGTTTTGGCTTTACATACTTTTTCACGGCTGTATAACTTATGAGCCAAGTTTGTATGTGAGTGGATTTGTCTCCATAAAAAATATACAACTATGTTTAGCCTATATTTTAATTTGACCATATAAAAGAATGACTATTTACTGAAATATGTTCTGCTTAGATTACATTTTAAATATAGTCCTGTATTCAGTGCATAATATTTTTACCTGAAATAGTTGATGGAGGGAGAAATTCAACCAGAAATGATAAATTATAGCATAATAATTGGGAAAGTTGTTTCTTGGGATCAAAAACATGTCAGACAGGTTAGTTGGAGAGCAATCTGACAAAATGGGATAACTCAGATATTGTGTATGAGGTCTTATGGCCATATATACGGGGCGACGTATCAGCACGAGTTTTCTCACGAACGAATGATGCTGAGGACGCTTCCTATCATTTCGTCTAATGTTCCTAAGCCTTTCTGTAATCAATACAACCTCGACCAGAACGAAAACCAGCCTGCTCCTCGCGAGTCAATCTTTCTCGGGTTTTGAACAACCTACGAAGTATGACGGAAGCCAATAGTTTGGACGCAATCGGAAGTAGACTTATCCCCCGATGGTTGTTACAGGAACGACGTGAACCTTTTTAAAGATAGGGACAACTATCAACTCATTCCACGACGTTGGTACGCTCTCTAGTTCCCAGACCTTTGTAAACAACTGACTGTGTTGTTTGTATCTAGGTAGCTACATAAGTGCTGATGGTAGCGTGAGTGATGAGATCAATACACGTATAGTGAAAGCCAGAGCAGCTTATGCCAATCTAGGCCATCTTTGGCGCCTTTGTGATATCAGTCTGGCTGTAAAAGATCGGATCTACAACAAATCGGTGAGAGAAGTTCTGCTCTATGTTTGTGAAACCTGGCCTCTCCGAGTTGAGGATGTTGGACGACTATCTGTGTTTGATCATCGTTGTCTCTGAAGGATTGCTGACATCCAGTGGCAACACCATATTAATGATGCAGAGGTTCGGCATCGTGTGTTCGGGAACAGAGATGATAATGCAATTGGTGTCACTATCTTGAAACACCGACTTCGGTGGCTTGGACATGTTCTACGAAGGTCGTCCAAGAGAATTCCACGTCGTGCATTATTTGCCGTCTCTGGGACTGGTTAGAAAAAGCGGAGAGGTGGTCAGTGCATGACATGGTGTCGTGGTATGAAAGAAAGCTGCAAAGGACTGGCTTGTGTTGGTCCTTCACGACTCCTTGACTGGGGTCCGAGAGATGATGCGACACAGTGGCTAGAGACATTATCAGATATGGCTCAGAATAGAAACCAGTGGCGATCCTGCTGTAACCTTCTTTTACTTTCTTAATAAAAAGTGGTTGTATCTTCCTTAACCGAAAGATTTCTTCTGGTTGTACCTTTACGTTTTCCCCGTTATTATTATTATTATTATTATTACACTACCTTACACTAATCTGGTCGTTATTGTTCTTTTTTTTCTTTTACACCCCTTACCTTTTTTCTTCCCATTCTCATTGTTTTGTGTGGCGCATATATACGTATATATTTGGTGCCCTTTTGTACTAATATTTATGTGTTCAAATAAATAAATAAATAAATCGTCACTATTTAACCATGTCCGATACTTGAATCTATTGTTGTTATTATTATTATTTGAACAAATAGATATTGGTACAAGGAGGCACCAAATACATATGCGCCACACAAATTTCATTTGATTTGTGTGAGGGCTGTGATACTGTCCGGGTGCCCAAACTGAAGCAGGTCGTTTTCTTGGGGGCCACAAGGCATTGGAGCATCGTAAGGAGATGCAGTCACATGGTAGCCGGTGACCAACGATTGGTTCATACACCATTTGTTGCTTCAGGATGCTGGAGCCCATGTGCACGGTTGGTTTGGAATCAGGGTTTTCCAACTCCTCCCTATTGTTAACGATCGGAGCTAATAAAATTTAATCCTTCGTTTTTAACGACCGTACTCTAAAATACATGTTAGAACGTCTAGTGTTTAGACGGTATATTAAATCAACGATCCTCACTCACGGTAAAAGTGTAGCTGATGACTTAACCTCATGTAAGGAATGTGGCGAACCCTTTAAGCAGCTGAAGATTAGGTCGTTTGTGGGCTCTTTTATTTATGTATAGGATTGAGTTCAAAACCAGAATTGGATAGTTTTAATTTAAGACAGAGTTTAGTAAAATAACTTTAGCTTAGTAGCAACCTTTGTTAAAGATCAAAGATGAGACTACAGAGCAACCTATCTACTGGAATATTCATTATTGGTTTAGACATTACAGTGAGTTGTTGTCTGAATCAACTAGTTCAAAATATCTGGGTCGATGCTGGTCCCATTTTACACTTTTATTCTATTTTTTAATCCTGATTAACGTAGCATACTTTAACTTATGGATTGGCTTCGCATAAGAAAATTCACTAACTCGGAGTCAGCGGATGACTATGGTTTGTTCAATAAGGACGTTGATGTGGATAATCATATTTCGAAAAGTTTGCAGTGCGTTCGTTACATCATATTGCGAAATACGACTTTTGTCTGCATTTGCATTTTCCTAACTGACTATCATTGTTCATATGTGAACTATAGCTAGAGTAACGTATATTTGTTCGGTTTTGTTTTACTTTCGTTAATATTAAATACATATCAGTTCACAATTGAATGAAGAGAGTGAAATCAATGCACAAAACACAATTAATAAACCTACGTATCGAATATTTTCCGTGATAAATAGGGTGTAAACACAACAAGACCCAACTTGTGTCAAAATCAAAAATCCATTGACCGTATGTCTAAAAAAAATCGAGTTTGACACAACTAAAGATCAAAAACATACTTCAACTTTCCTTTGGGCTTTCTTAATCTTTCTGGACCATATTTGAGCACTAGAAATGCGGTCTCGGCATAATCCATTTTTGATCTATCCCAATTATGTCTATATGATTCCAAAATAAACAAGTGTGATTCATGAACGCATACCTTTGCTGAACTGCATTGGCAGTTCTCAAAAGAACATGCATTAAGTAAGTTGACAAAATCCCTGATACTATAATCATAGTAAATCCAGTCTTGAAAATAAGAAAAATACAAATACGAATTTACCCACAGACCAGCATATCTCAGAACAACTGGCATAGAAAGTATCCCAGTGCCAATATTACCCTTGATTAAACTCATGAGTGCCTGGTACTCACTACAGAAAGATTAGTGTAATTTGAGTTATTAATCAAGATTACTTTATTTTTTTTCCTATTGTATGGGGATCTCGTGGCTGATTAGCATGGTCATCATTTTGAGATGTAGTGGATTGGATATCTCCGTCGGTACTCGGTTCGTGACTAGCGGTCTTACAATTTACAGCCATTTTCATATAGCCCAAATATCTAAAACCAGTAAGTGACGTACGATCAGCAAAAGTTTAAGCTAACAGTAAAAATAATATTAATTTGTACATGTAACTAGTATTATCCGTCCATACATGTAACTAATGTCGCCTGTACAAATTACGTTAAAGCAAAATATGCTATTTAAATCAGAAGTTAAGGGTATCAAGTCGTTATTTTGAGTTTCCTTACCAGTAGATTATTCACAAGAGCGTATAAAATTACCTGTCTAATGGCATATTTAGCCAAGTCGGTCATAATGATAAAACAAGTGGTTTTATGTATCATTCGGTTTGGCGTAAAAATCTAGAACGCTTATATTTTATCCGAATTAACTGCTTCTAAGGATATCAATAACATATGTAGCCAAGCGCACCGTATCCATCAATACACATCTCATAGACCGAGTTTTGGTCACTTCTGTGTATGAGATCATTGCAGAAACAGTCAAAACGTTTAGAGTTCACATGCGAATGATGCCTAATTCTCTGGACCACTGATATTATCAACATTAAAATTATGATTGAAATGCTAGTTAGTTAAACAGCGTGTGAGAGCAGATGGGTGAGAATATAATTGTACCAGAAAACTTAATTACAGATCCGTCCAACTTGCAGCATGAGAGGTTGTGAAGACCTGATTTAGGATTGATGCTTATTAATTACAAAACAACTAAAAATATTATCAAACAGTCAGTATCCTATGACAGCCTCAAACCAACTTTGCAATATATGCATCGCGGTCTGACCTTCAATTGACCTTAACACACGAGCCTAACGACGTTAAACCAACATTGACATTTTAATTTGTTTTAATCCATATACTGGTTGATCAGACTGGTTTTCCTTTAATACTGATCCGGAATGGGGTGACTTCGACCGCAAACAATGAAAGTTACCGTAGGTGGTTATTCAAGGTAAAAGGATTTTTCCTGTCATTAAAGAAAATTAATCCAAATCGAACAAGAGCACTGCAATCTCGAATTTGTGCTTAGTAGCTATAGCATGAAAGTCGTAACTTCAAAGATAACTGAGCATACATATGCAGGATCACGATACTTGCCTTATTAGGAGCTTATATGAACATCTAGCCATTATCACAGTAGAACTAGTGAAATGTCACTGATCCCTAGCCAAGTCATCAGGCAGTTGTCAAACTTTTCATTAATCCTCGTCAAGGGCAATGACAACCAACACGCATCCATTAATTGCACGCTATAGACTGGCCCACGCAGTGGTGGTCCTTGGCCTTGGAGAGGATCAATGAAGTGCTCGACATTCAGTGGCCCAACTGCCGGATGATTTGGCTAGGGCTCAGTGAAATTAATGCAATTAAGCGACGACAAAAATGAAAACAATAGGCACGGAATGCAATAATAATAGGTTGCGTTATTCAACGTCTTACCCACTAGTGTAGATCGCTAACGTAAGTAACGAAAACTGAGCAAAAGTTCATTGATATATCATTACTACTAGTAAAGGAAAAAGAATATATGATGGAGAAAAATCAGTTTACAAGTTGTGTATATAATGAGGTTAAAAATACAACAACAAAGAACCTTTATTTAACAGTTCCGGTCACTTCTACACGCTTACATTTATTCCGGTCTCGTTCCCTATAGTAAGATGGAGTACTCAAAGTAAACGTTAAAGCAATGGGAGTATTACCTGTTTAATACTAATTTCCAAGACAAAAATTGTCAAATTTTCTCTCCAGACATCGCAAAGCGCTCGCCATACCTTTCAACACTTTGTTGTTTGTGCGTTTTTTGTTTCGTTGGATATGTCCATATTGTTTAATTGTCTGCAGAGTGAAATTTTCGTGTTTACACGCAACAACCTGAAATATACTCTTACACACATGTAGAGGTTTGAAAATCTGTAGTCTTCGCATCAGCAGCAGCGACATGCTTGTCAGTTCGATTCTTCATACCTTCTTCCATTTCATTTATTGACGATGGTTGCAACATCACCGGTCATATTCTAAGGGAAATAGTCTGGCCCACGAATCGCAAACTATCCATGCGCTACTATAAGGATAATTTTGAAGCATCTTGAATGATATATGACATATTCTCCACTGCCTATAGTTACACGGAAATTTGGTTGACAGTTCAGAAAGTTAGACATTAAACGTCACATGTTGCTTAAAGTTCTCGCGGTTTCCAATTCACTGTTAGACCTCGTTGTTTACGCTCGTGACCAAATGTTCACTGAAGCACTATAAACATGCATTTAAACTTCATGTTTTTCAGCAATTTACATTTGATGCGAGTGTCGACCATTTTTTCAACAAACTACATTCCTTATGTTCAACGGTAACATTGTAGACGATATTGATACTATATGTAATCGATTCAACAACCACTTCTGACAATGCTACACCACGAAATGCACATCTTCTCACTGATGTTGTGCTAATGTTGATAGATAAATTTTTATCCACAACTCACTTTACATTCACCAAACACAAGCAGGCTCCAAATATTTTGAAAACGTCCTACGACGGTTGACCTGACGAGATTCTTGTACCGTTCGTGAAGTGATGTGATAGTGAATTTCTTTTGTTATGTTTGAAACGGCTCAATATTTTCATGGATCACGGAGCCTATCCATATGTACGGAACAAATCATTTAATGCTTCCAAATTCAAAACACGATCAAGAAGTGATGTTGCAAATCGTGGCTCTATTAAGATGGAAGAAATCATCCACCAACATCTGTTAACACTTCCGACAAGCCCTACTAGTCCCTCTCAACATGGGTTTGCGATTAATACAGCAGCTTCACATCGCACTTGAAAAATTTTAACCAAACCACCCAGCGAAAAGACGTCGGTTAATCGGCGGTAATTCCATACTTCGATTTTGGCAAGGCTTCACACAAAATTCTCCCAATTTTTCGCCATTTAGCATACAGACAACGATGTGACTTCCACTTCAGTTTCTATACATTAGGCATTCCCATCATGGCAGGTATAGGATTTTCAATTAGCGCTATTATTCTAGTAACAAAGACAAATGCTTGTACGCAAAACACTTTTATGATCAAAGTATATCCTTTCATTCAACTCAGAGGTCAGAAACGTAGGGGTTCGAAGTTATATTTCGAAACCCATTGATATATCGAAAAGCTTTTGGTCTGAGCTGACTAATGATTGCAAAGGAAGTAGCATGACGTGCTCGCTCCTGACCTAGTGAGGATGCGTGACTGAGCGCCTTGAGCTGGTGTGTGTCTAGTAAAACCAATGAGGCCAGCATCAATGTTATTATTATTATTATTATTATTATTATAAGCTTTATTCAATATTATATTTTTGGTACAATATAGAATTCTCAGCGTAAAGTATTTCAACAAGCTTCCGTTTCTTTCTTCTTCGTCGGTCCTGGCGATAAATATTGAGTGATCGCCAGTTAGATGTTAGCAGTTCACTAAATGAACATCTGAATAATATGCATTCTTTTGGTTGTATATTGCCAGCAACCACATTGTCTCTTATTGAGTTGTTTGTAACTTTGACAACGAAAGGTTGTACACTTTTCAGAATTGCAGCGGAATTGGTTGTGCGATTAATAAACATAATGATATATTAAAACAAACAAAAATAGATAACTTGTTGAAATATCTAGATGACAGGAACAGGTAGCCCAGATGCTCAAGCAGGCCGCCGAAGACTAAGTGAAATATTTATTTTGACGATTAATTCGCCGTTACATATTTGTTATATCCGGACAAGAATTAATGAATGATAGCCGTTAAGCATTACTTATGGACTATATTATATGTATGTTCATATTACTTTCAATATAAGCTTTTTACGGCCAATTGGTTGCTGTTATATGATTTGCTATTCTCAAGTTATTTTGAATCTATTGGTAGCAGTTTATCACGATCACAGTCAATCTTTGCCTTTGCTTGTACAGGTGTTATTTTCCATTTCATCGTGCGATGTGGTCTGATTTGTTTATACATAAACCCATTATATTTGAAACATATGATTAATATCGCGGAGGCTGAGATTGGCATTCAGGACTTGAGAGGCAGGACTAGACTGAGAGAAACACGTCTGAACTGCAGGCTGTCTGTACTGGTGTATACGTCATTATTTTGGTCATATAAGTTGGCATATCTAAACTGATAGTCGCATTTCGCGATATTCGTATAGCCAAGGATATAACAATATTCACTAAAAATCCCCTTTCTTTCCGAAAGTGAGTGCAGTATACATGGTGGGTCCGCTTTTAATGACCTCTTAAGTATCACTCATTTATACTTTGCATAATGACGTAATGACGACAATCTAGGCATATGAAAAACGAACTTTATTCAGACAATTTTATGCTTGGTTACTTCCTTTGATATCTGTCGGACATTAAATCATCATGGCATCTGAATGATTAACATATATTTCCACCAATGTATTTGGAACCTTTCGTTAATAATTTCTGGTTCCATATATGTGATTGCCATAAATAATGAAAAATTATGGATCATTGAAAACGATTCAAGGTTTAGCGCTAATTTCATCCACTCACTAGGCTAGATCACATTTGGCATTTTGATTGATGTCAGTTCGTGATGGAAAGCCAAAATCTAGTTCTTAACCCTAACGACCAACTGTTAACCGTGATCTTTATACCTGACACCAATTTCTAACCCTCATTTAATCCTTATAGGTAGGTGGATAGTGTGAAGGTCGTTCTAGCGCTGCTTTAAGGTCACTTGTAAGTTAGCTTTAACCATGCTTGTTATATATGATTGTCATCGATGGCTTTCTTCAATAAATGCAAGCGAGTTCTATGCACTCGCTGAGTATTTGGCTCACTTTTACCCTCGTTCGTTTATCATATTCTGCTCCTAGGAGCAGAATGTAAGAGCAGACATGTAAGCTTACATGTCTCAGCACATAAGGCAACTTCAGGCAAGATGTAAACTTACCTAAGGCCGGACGTTGTATTTCTCCGTAGGCAAATCTACTTGTAACAAGATGTCTTGTGGGTCATTGACATGTCTGTACAACTTTATACGATTGTAGCCGAACTAATACCACAAGAACGTCGGTCGCTGTCTCAAAAAACACTACCAACCATACACTACTTCGTAAATAATACCCTAGCAAAAAGGGGAAATAAAGGCAAACATGACTCAAATGAACGCGGCGTCCCTTGGGATGTATTGTTAACAAAGAAGGGCGCCAATTGTTCTCATTCTTCACCTTCTTTGGGGTTAGAACGTAGAGGACCCTTATTTGTCACTTTTTGACGGCATAAATTCACAGTGAGTACAACCTTCAGCACAATTTATTGTAGGTGGAGTGCTGCCCTAGAAACATCTGTATTGATCTTTCAACAACCACGTTGATTTCAGTTGATTTTCGCGTTTGTGCTGCGCGTTTAGCATTCTGGAGTTAGTTCTTTTTCAATATCCTTCTGTATTCGTCTAGTCTTCTCCCTTATTAGCTAGTTCTTGCCGTAGTAGGTTTCTAGTTCTGGTTACTCACTGGGAAAACCTGTACACTACGGCGATTTTGCCTGTTTAGCTTTTAAATCCATCCATTGTGTTCTTGGAGTATTCCTTATATGAGAGTAAGTAGTATGCCAAGTTCGAAATCACCTAGTGTCTATTGAGTAATAATTAGGCCTTTTCCACTCACCGTAGGATTATGTAAAAACGTTTAAGTCATCAAGCCCATTTTAAGGTTAAGCGTGTAGCTCAGGGATTAAGCAAATACCCGCTACGTAATGATCCTTTGCACTCATTGCAAGATATTAGTCGTCTTCCAAACAGGGGCCTATGACCTCTATATATTTTTTGGTTCGGATATTGCTAAAGCCATATGAACAGTTTTAAACATAATTTTACCTCACTTTATGAAAGTTAATATCGTCACTGTTTTAATATCTGGCTTCAACCGAACAGTAGTGAGCCAGTCTTTAAAAGATAACTTGCTGTGATCCTATGGTCTTTGTAAGTTAATACTAGTGGGATAAAGATTTAATTTTGTAGTTTGTGCTATTTGCGTATCCAATACTCAGTGTGACGCAGCTCTATTCTTAGGGTTTTTTCATATCAGAGACCACTTTAACAGGTTGTTGATTTCGAACTGAAGTCCACTTACTTGAGCATCCTCAGGCACTTGCTATATTTTGACGTTACCAGTGTAAAGCAGTGTTGTGTATTTGATGATAAGTTGGCCAGGTATTATGTATATGACCATCAAATTAATCAGGCAATACAGTCAGTTGAGCATTTATTTCATTTTTAATACTAACTTATTTAAAATCCGGTGTGTATTTACCAGCGAAAAAACCATCCAGTTTAATTTTTTTGATTAGATTTTCATAAAAATAATGACTTTGTTGTTGAGCTTGGAAAGTAGGTATGTTAGTCTGTTTTTCGTCTAAACGGTTCGTCACTACTCGTGTGTATATATACTATAAATTTAGAAGTAGGAGTAAAGCGAATGAACCTCTCAACTGATCAGCCGTATGATTTCACAGAAGCAGCAGAAGAAATAGAAGTTCTCTCTGCTATATATGAAGAGGACTTTTTTATCTTGGAGCCTGAGAACAAGTAAATTTATTGTTAATTATATGGAGTCATAGAGTCTACGAGATAAGGATCGACTCAAAAATGGGTGATACTACTAGCAAGGAACAAATTATCCTGAAATTCCAGCAAATCCCTGGCTATCCTTCGATCAATCCAGTAAAATATGAGTTCGTATTGTGATGTTATCATCTATGTTTTCAGATTGCATGCACCTTGGCTCAAGTGTAATATTCTTAATGAACTCGACAAACAATTGCAGCTTGTAGTCTCGTCTTCACTTGGCTCCCCAGTTGTTTATTTGTTGGTTGAGACTGTTCGATCATTCATGTGTAATTATTTGTCTTCGAGTACTGAAAATCTAACCATTCATAAAGTTGAAGAATCATCATCACAGTCTGTGCCGGAAAATCACGAACTACCAAGTGCGGTTATATCGGTGCCTTCAGTAAAATCTCATCTTGACATATCTCCCCAAATTTTGCCATTTGCTTTAAACTCAAAAGTACCAGAGATTTATCATGGTGAACCGCTTATAGATCGTAAAAGCGTTTTCCAGGTAACTATCTTAGTGATTAAAAGGTCGATATTTGTTTCATATGAAACTATACTTTCGGTGTGACGTATGGGAATATTTTTATTGAAAGTGATTGTTTTAAACAAGAGCACCGTTTATCAATAAGTACCTACGTAACTATAAGTATTCCTTAGATATTAGCTATTTATTTATACTGAAATGTTGGTTTTTGAACTGTAGATTCATGATTATTCTGTTGGTGAAATTGCTCAAAGTTGGTCCAATGGTGCAGGTACATTCACTGTTTTCCTATAGCTCTTTAATCTTAAAATGATCTTATACGTCTTATTCTGCAAACTGATTCTTTTTAAATCGTATTCTCTTCTCTACTACCACTGATGCTATTACTATTACAACTGTTCTGACACATTCGTTGACGGACATTCGTGACATGATCTACGTTAATTATATATCATGACTGGCACACGATTGTTCTACACTTGTATTTTGGGTTAACTACTTTCGAAGTGTTAAGGATACAAGGTGTAAGATGAGAGTACTTGTAAGATAGTTAAGGAAATAACTTGGTGATAATGAATTGTTTTCGTCTAAGTGGATTGTTAAAGAATGTTATTTATTGTTTTTATTTGCACAACCTCTCAAGAGATTACCATAAAACAATTATACTTCTATTATTCTGGTTCCAAAACATTCTAAAGTATATTTACTTTCTGTTAATTTCTCATTTGGTAATATTAGTTGACGGGAAGTTAACTTGTTTTATCTAGTAATTACAAGAATTCCTAATTATTTTCGTAGGTAGTTCCATTATCGTCATTGTCGTTTTCTGTTTTTTTCAGTTGATAGTTACACATAACAACTTATATATTTGCTTCCATAAAATTAACATAAGTACTTTAGTATGTTCAGTTTGGAAAGAGAGCCAATTATACGAATGATATTTATTTATTTAACATAATAAACATTGGTACAAGGAGGCACCAAATAAGTATGCGCCACACAAATCACATTCGATTTTTGTGAGGGCTGGGATACTGCCCGGTTGCCAAAACCCAAGCAGGTGGTTTTCTTAGATGGCCGCATTCCGAGCCTTTGACCTAAAGGTCTAATCCACAAGGCATTCGAGCAACCTAAAGAGATGCAGTCTAATGATAGCCGCTTACCATCGACTGGTTCATACGCCATTTGTTCCTTCAGGATCCTGTGACCCATGTGACCATTGGTTTGGGATCACGGTTTTCCAACTCCCCTAGATGGACTCTCTGTGTCCACCGACCCGGTTAAAACGTCGGATATTCGCTTTTCGTCCTGAATTTCGTAGACAACACTGCCGCCACGTGAAGGAAGTGAGTAGGACTTCCCCGGCAATGGTTATATGCATATACGAATGATTATCAGAGTCGAAACAACGTAACATACAGGCTTTTAGTTACCAGATGTTTTATGTAGCATTACGTATATTGAGATCTCCCTGTGATCTTTTCATTAACTTGTTTGTTATAGTTCCTTAATAATCTTTCAGGAGAATACACATACAGAAATATATTTTTGCTGAAGTCTTGGTTTTCTCTAGGACAGTTATACGTAAGTAGGTTGATATTCTAAGTTGAACAATATAAGTAACTTTGGTTTTTTTAAAATTGTGGTTTTTAATGCAACTTATCACCAAATTACGGATTGATGCGATTGACTATTGATTACATTTTGCTTTGATAACTTAGCGTTTGAACCATGAGTCGGCTAAAATTCCGTTTAAGCTGTGGGATGTTTTTTGAGATGAAATAATACTGTTCAATATGAGCCGCATTAATAAAATACTAATATTGACTATGTCGGTTGACTGTATAGGCTCATTGTGCACGTGTTTCTACCCGTGGTGAAGTATCCCTTTTTATATCAACACTGCTTACGGATAGAAAAGTTGCTACAGCTACTCATAATATCCTAGCTTGGCGTATCTCCTCCAAAGAAGCTGACTGTGACGATGATGGAGAAACACATGCAGGTGGTCGACTATTACATTTACTTACATTATCAGGAATTGAAAATGTAGCGGTTATGGTGAGTGTTATAACTGAAAAATTGTATTTAATATTGGCGATTATTCAAGGTACCAAGTTGTAATATTAACATATAGTTTGTTACATCTTATTTGACCATGGTGTGCTCTACAGGGGAAATTGTTCTTCGTTGGTTTTCATCTGAGCAATAGTGTAGTTCAATTCTTAACAGATAATGTTAACCTATTTAGTGGCAACTGTAGACATTATTGATCAATTTTCACTACTTGGGCAAATTTAAATGTTCTTAACAAAATGGCTTTGTAGATTTAGTCTTCTTGGTTACACTGCTGGATACCAAATAATCGAAGGCAGCAAAATTACTAATCAGTGTAACTGGTCTAATGTCTAATTATTCTTAAGGTTCAGTCCTTTGAGTTAAAAGTCATTGTTGTCTCCTATCACATTTTTTTCAAAGTGTTACATTGTTTATCCTTTTGTGTCAATCTTCGGAGAAAACACCGATACGTTAATTGTGGATAGCTACTGTTAACTACAATTATTTGATGGTCGACTTTAAATGTGTCTTGTTTGAAGTAGTATTCATCCTGAAGGGTGCAAGCAAAAGGTTGACTATCGAAAGGGCTAGTGTAAAGGGGTGGACATTAATATGCGGGACCATTAAAAAGGGGCATGTTAATACAGGATAAAGGGCTAAGCGAATATTAAAAATGTTATTTCCCATTTCAATGCCCGCATTTATTAATTTACCCCTTTTTGATGGTCACATTTTTTGACTCGCCCTTTTGCTTCCACTCTTATTAGTGTGAACTGTTTGGATCTACCTATGATGTATTTGCTTCTTTCTAGCTGGCTAGATTCTCGTTAGACTGAATTTACTTCTACTTCTTTTAGTAATAGTCACTGTAAACCTAGGCACAAATATTGGCTAGTCATATTAGATCAACGTGATGAGATGAAAAGCATGAGATTCGAAATAATTGTAGTTGAAATTATGGTGAAAAAGATCAAGCGTTCAAAATATTGTTCGAGTAAATTGAATAAAAAGGCATGGGTAAAGAAATGCTTGGACTCAAAATCCAGATAACGATAAAGAGCCAGTGCATCTAGGCTACTGTGATCTATCGTAACTCATGTCATTCCACATATCTAACCATTGATCACAGTAATCACGTCGATACCAACCAGCTAGTATGTATCTACCGATATGGCTTCGACCGATGTTCTTAATGCTTGAAGGACGTTTGTGGTCAAATAGTAGTAGCCGACGAATGTTGCGATATTTCACAGCTATAAAATATGACAGCAAACTGCCGTGCAGTGAAGCGACACGCGAAGGCCACAAAGAGATGCTAGTTAGTATACGTCAAGCGAGCTTTCTTTATCTCCAATATTTCATCAAACCAACCCAATAAAGCAAATGAAACTTCGATACGTTAAATGGTTTATCCACTTAGCTACCTTATTCTTTATGATCAATCTGAACTATAATACAAACCAATCATGAGGTAACGTATTCCCCTTAAAGAGAGAGCAACGCATCTTTAATTTTTTATTTAAATCACGACAATCATGACAAACATTTTGAAACTTGGAAGCACTAGAAAGCTGTTTCCTCCTAGAGCAAGTTATAATAAAATAATGACTTGTCTTACACTTATGAAATGGAAATCAAACAGTTTCCTTACAATTACACTTCAGTTGCTGTTGACCCATTTAGACAATGAAAAGAGTAACGTCAGCCTTTTACAAAGACTTACTTTACTTACGCCTGTTACCCCTCGTGTAGGAGCCCACAAATCTTTTATTATCTCCCCAAAAAATAATATTAGTTTGAACCTCCTTGCTACATACAATCTGATTTTTACCTTGAGAGACAGGGCAACATAAAATATCAGAAAACAAATGAAGAAATAGAAAACAGATAAAACTCATTGAGAAGAATCTGTATTGTAGGCTCACAAATAATTCTCGTTGCACGAGTGTAATAATTAAGGTTTAAGGACTGTAAAATCCGAAGTTTTACTGTATTCATAGCAGATGATATTTGGTTAGTTAGCAGCTTTTAACTCATCCACAAAGTTTTTATCGAATAATTGGCGGTATTTTAAAAAGAAAGTTACAAGTTTTCTTGAATTCTATTCAAGTGGTTTTTGATTTATTTTTCTCTGTATGACATATTCTTTACAAGGATTCACTTCTTAATCAAACATCGTTGTGTTTCATCTACACGTCATAATTCATTTGAAATATCTGGCTAAACCTTATTTCTTTAATCTCCTAAATGTTTTCATATTTTTCACACTCAAAATAGTGTTTGTTTTTGCCATTCATAGTTTGTGTATATTTGTGTGTTGTATTTTCTAGGTAAGTCGATGGTATGGTGGTATCCAACTTGGACCTGATCGATTCAAACATATCAACAATGTTGCTCGCCTTTTGTTAACTGAACATAAATTCTTATCGAATACCAGTGACGTTAGTAATAATAATGGTACAGGACATCAGAAAAAACATAAACACGACAAAAAGAAAAAGAAATAAAACAACTTGTTTCTCTCTCACAAAAATTCATTTATGTTTCAGTTTTGTAAATTTGTTGTTTTGTCTTCTACTATTATTTCTTTTATATTTCTTTTATGAGTTGGGAAGAGGCTAGAGGTGGCTAAATCAAAACATGTTATCAGTCTATGAAAACTTTGATTGTTGGTCTAATTCATACTGGTAAATTTTTAACTCTGGTTGGTATCAGCGCGTTAACTACAATCAGTGGTTAGTAACTTTGGGTAGTATTGTTCAGTGTCGTTTTTATCTTGCAAGGTTTACTCTTTCTTTATGTCATTGCTATCATATTATTTTAACATTTGTTTGTTACTTTAATCTCGTTACGCTAATCTATTATGGCAAAATGGATCAACTCACACATGTACCAGGCTCTATATCGTTGATGATGATGATGGCTCAATATTTTTTATTTTGAAGTAACTATGAATGACACCACTTGTTCATTTAACAGCTGCGATAAGTTAAAAGGGCAACATGTTTTTAGTGAAAGAAAACAACGAAAACTGGCAAAAGTATAGTTATATGGAAAAAAACTTGAATGATTCTTAAAATAATCGTGTGACTTCGGAACCACTTTTCAGCCAATTACCAAAGGGTTTGTATAAATCGAAAGCATTCCTCAATAAATGTTACGGCGAAATCTATTAGAGTTTAGTGGTCTGAGGAATTTCGGTTTTTAAGGCCTGTTATCAGGTGATACGTCAAGTGGACCAGACAAAGTGTTTTTAATTAAGATGCTTATTATAATGTGTATTATTGACTTCAGATTTATGTTTTCAGTCTTCAGTGACCTGTGTTAATCATTGCAGCTTATTTTCCATTGGAAATCTAATTTCTTGAGTGTTCACTGATAGACTTGATATCATTTGTTCGGTTAAGCCGTTCCAGTCGTTGACCACTCAATGAGAAAAACGAAATTCTACTCAGTTTATTTGATTGCCGTTTTAGAACATTCTTTCTATGGCCTTGGAGATGATTAGTTCTGGAGGGCGTAAATAATAAGACATGTTAACACCTGAATAAATGTCTTATCTTTCTGCCTCTCCCTCCAGAATCAACTTTCCTCGAAACCGTCGCGTCCTGTAGTTGGAATCTGTATTTTGATATATTGAAGTACTTGCATGATAATACTTTATCATAAACACATTTGTTTGGCTAAACAGAACAGTACAGCCAATTAAGTGTGAAGTTGAACCACTTAGACTTTCTTTGGGATTTTAGTTTACGGTATAAGGCTTTCCTAGAATATTTAAAATTATTCCACATGTGATGGCTTTTATGGATTTCTCTAAATGATCCTATGAATTACAATTCCCACACTTTTGTCATACTGTTTGAGGGTTAATTATGGTAAACAACTGTTTAAAATAAGATTATTGAAGCATAACTCTAACCTTTAATTTACACTCGTTTAAAGTCAAATATCACTACTTCAATCGTTGGGCCAACCACTTTTAGTATCGTAATGTAGTTATTATGGGTAAACTATTTAAAAGTGCTTGCTTAGTTTTCTAATTATTTCCCTCAAAATATCAAACAGAACATACAATGTCTTTTGATACCGTTTAATGCAATGATATGGTTTTATTCCTCGTTTGTCGATTTTCTCTAAGAATGTCAAAATTATCATATAGTGTGGTGTGTGCTACTTATATTGATATAAGTAGTATATAACGCGAGTTAATGAATGTAATGTCTGGCATCAGATGGGAGATCAAGAAAGGAAGAGCGGGAACACAATGCGATTTGTAAGAAAACGCATGAACAATGCAATGTGAGACAATGGATTGATGTTTGCAACAGAAACAGTTAGGTTTGGTATGATGGATCGATATTTTGCAAATTAACGATTTACTATATGGTTTTTCTATTTTACCAAGTAACTCTGTAATTTTGTGTTAAATACAATTCGGTTGTCCTCACTTGTGTTCTCCTTTACTACAATAGTGGTTAGGATGTCATCTGAGTTAGTATATGCGTTGTTAGATTCACCGGAATAACTTAAGTCGATTAAAGTCAAATATTATTGGAATATTTATATATGAATTTATCTGAATCAAGAATGATTCTTCATCAATTAATATTTAGTTCAAAATAAAAACTCATGTGAATTGATAAATCTAGTAATAAAATTCATCTCTTGGGGAAGAAAAATCGGATAACGACTTTCAATTTATCCGGACAATCAGAATGCTTATCAACAGATAATAAGTGAATAGTTAGTTTACGATAAACCAGTGAAATCTAAAAAGAAATTGCACAATAAGAGGCTAGTTACTCGTGCGTAATACAGTTATAAAAGACTAATCTCACAGGCATATTGGTTTTGAGTTCGTGCTGTTGGTTCAAGTGTGCATAATTTCATTGTTTTTCTTCTCTTGTAGTATCCACGCAGATATTAAGTAGCCGTTAAGGAATTTGGGAAAAAGAGTTGTTGATAATAAAACGAGACTGAGTTGTTTAACAAAGTTGAATATACCCAAGACCTAGATAGGGCTATATATTTTAGTCGAAAAATATCAAAACAGCTAGATAGTTCTACTATACGGAGCTGAAACTTGGAGAACTACTACAACCATCATCAAGAGGGTACAAGTATTTACAAGTAGTTGTCTTCGCAAGATACTCAGCATACATTGGCCGGATACCATCAGCAACGGCCTTCTGTGGGAGAGAACGAACCAGCTTCCAACTGAACAGGAAATTCGGAAAAGACGATGGAAATGGATGGAACATACATTGAGGAAATCATCAAACTGCATCACGAGGCAAGCCCTAACTTGGGATCGTAAAAGGAAGCGAAAAAGAGGAAGGTCAAATAACACATTACATCGGGAAACAGAACCAGATACGAATAACAACTGGAAAGGAGTATCCAGGACAGAGTTGGATGGAGAATGCTGGTGGGCGGCCTATACTCCTCCACGAGAAGTAACAGGTGTGAGTAAGCGACATGCATAGTTTTGTAGATAAACAGACTTGTCTGTGAATGGTAAGTTAATCTAGAAAAATTGTTTATTGAGTTTCATTAAATGTATCCAATTATATAATTAACCAAGTTGTTACCTGTAATGCAAGTGGCAGTGACACTCCAGCCACTTAAATTGAACCAGATGGTAAAGAGTTGAACCTGGCACCAACAGTTTTGAACCAAGCACTTTTAAAAACTATTACTAAGAACATACCTCATGGTACAGAATGTTTATTTGTATTTAATAACGAGAAACTTGTTCTCTTAGTTCTACCATTGTTCATAGAAAATTAATATTCATTGAATAACTGATTGTAACATTGTAAATAAATTCCACTGAATTTTTTTCTGTTATACATAAATAAAATGATTTTACTGAAAGGTTTGTTATTTTTCCGATTGCTTAGATTGATTACCTTAATTAGACGAAACACGGTTGGAAGCTGAATACTATAACCCTTCTGTCACTATAAGGCAATCTTCAGCACAAACTAATCTAAATCACACTTTTTGTATTATCCCTATTGTTTACGCGGTAATCGTCAACTGTAGAATCACCTCCAAATAATCATTATGTTTGACTATTGTTATAATTGTCTCTTACGGTTATAACCCAGCTATTCCTATTGCTTAGTATTCTTGGACACCAATTCACTCGACAAGTCCCCAAATCAGAACACGATTGAACAGGAAAGAGATTATATTCCAAATAACAAGTTTAAATGGAAGTAAGAAGCACAATAAGAAAAACGTTAGTATATTTATGGTTTTTACATGAGATTTCTAGAGTATTCTCCAAGTGTCGACTAACTCTGATTGAGTAAGAATTGGCCAACGTAATCGTGCATTGAGCATACTTCAATCCAACTTATGTCCCGCTAACAACTATACTGCTATAAAATCATATTTGTTTCAATGTAATTATCTAGATCGTATATTCTGTGTGTATCCTTCATTGTTTGGCTTATCGCATGAGAATTAGCATTTTAATTCTAAATTGTTTTACGATTGTATACTTCAATATTCACAAATTACATTGTTTTAATACAATACCATCAACCCTTTAGATATATTCATGTGAATCGTTTTGTTTAAAGAAACCGCACTATCATTTCATGCGTGTTTAAAACAATCTCTATTATATTCGAAAGTCTATTCATTCAAATATTAAATTGTTACTTATTATATGGTTTTCAATAGTGACTTTGTTTAAGTAATATTCTATTGTTTAGTTTCTAATGTTACTATGGTAGTTCTTCTACAAATCTGTTCACTTTTTTTCCTTTCGTTATTCATTGTTGTTATAGTTTCAGATATTTGGATAAAAATGAAGATTTATTGTGTTGTTGAGCCTTTGTAGACATTGAATATAATAACACTTGAGTGTAATAACAATTCATTTATTAGAAATTAACTCAAATTACACATATTGAGATTGAATGATTAACCTACTGAAAACTAAGGAGGGTTAGATAGTTATTTTATATGCTAAGATGAAATAGTTGTCTGGTACTTCACGGTTTTCAGTAGTTTTACAGTTGATCAAAGTCCTTTATAAAAATCCACTTGAAACTTAAACGTTTTGGATGCGCACTGCCGATGAGTCCCATACTAGGACGAAACGGCCGTCCAGTGCTTCCTGGTTTACCACGGTGGCATAGTTTCAATTGACTCATGAATTTGACTATTAAATTTTGACGTTGGTTTATACGTTTAATCAAAGTGTTAGTTCATAAGAAGGGTAATGTTTCATTCCGGTTTGAAATTCTTTAGTAGCGCACACTAAGGACTTTTATCATAGCATAGGAAATGATGGTTTAAAACACATGGTGGGATCGCAGTGACCTGTTAAATTCAATTTCAGTTGATTTATAGTAAACCGAGATTTTCGTTCGAAAAGTGTCAAATTCTGTAGATCTATATGTCATCATTATAATAACTTGACTATCAATTAACCGTTGACTAAATTTTCAGGAGGGAACTATATTCAACGTATTAGCTGATGGCTCATAGATGTATATATATGTAGTTGTTTCACT